ATGCGCGCCATATTATTTTTCAAGCCTGTGTGAGTGCACTTTGCAAGCGAACATACACACACACAGCTGAAAACAAATTTAAAGCTTAAAGAAATTGCATTTCATGCTGAAAACACTTCGGCCCGAGTATTGCTACCGTAAATGTCCCTTTTTCGAATTCAGACCACATTTTTAGTGTTTTTTTTATACACTTCTTTATGCCTTTCCGCCTACTTTCAAAGCTTTTGTTTGTTCGAGCACTACATAGTCGCCCGTCAACACTTCTAAATTCATGCACATACAAATATACACCTATTCTTTACTTGTATTTTATTGACTTACAGACATTAGTATGTACAGTATGTGCATTAGACCGTACCACGTTACAAGCAAACAAAAAAGTTCGCCGTACACCTCTGAAACTGAAGGATTTTGGCAAGGCAATTTCGTTTTATTTTCCTAAGCCTGGTGGTCGCTTTTTTACATTTTGCGGTGACACCTACATTCGACAATAAACAATTTTTTTAAATGGTTCTACTGGAATAAACGAAATAAATACATCCATAGCAAAAGTTTAATGATTTTTGCGAGCTTTAATTAGGGTAGTACGTAGGTGTGGTAAGAACTGAGATCTGGTGGGCGCTTGAGGTTAATGAACTTTGCAACAAAATAAAAATTGTCCTCTCGATACAGGATCATTGATATATATCATACTTTAAGAGCAGACTGTTAATGCCGATGAAATTTAAAAAGGCGTTCAGCCAAAAAGAAATTTCGCATTTGCCTTGCAAAAATATTTTAGATTCGAAAGCAAACTTTTATTCTTGTACGGCCTAATGTACATTTGTATGTATGCACATTTTAGTATAGTATATGTTATTTGTTTTGTTATAGCTGGCTGGTACCTTGGTTACTTAACCTTTACTTAAGGCATAGCAAAGTCAAGGGCTTGCATATTTGCAAGTATTTTGCGCGTTTTGGCAGCAAATTCTTTAGTATACTTACTTACATATGTATGTACATATATGCGTTTTTTAAGTGCACCATTGTTTTCCTCGTTTGGTTTGAAAACTTTTTTTTTTGTTTTTATTTATTGCCTCTTTACAACATTTCGCGGCAAACGTTTTTATTTCCAAATGCGAAGTCGAACTGCGAAGTTTTTTTTTTCAAATTGAAAGCGTACATGCGTATATGTACATATGTATGTACATACTTATTTCAATGTATTGTTTTATTTTCTTGAATATGTATATTTTTTGTTCGCTAATATAACACAAATTTTCATTATTTTCTTAACAATGCATTATTTACTCACTGTATTCAACCCTGTTTTCTGCTAACTTACAGTTTGCCGCTTGGGTTGATGCCGTAATATTTGTCTTTAGTCTTGAGAACGAAAGCAGCTTCAATACAATCTACAACTACTACAATAAAATGGCGCATTTTCGCAATGGTCAGGATTTACCAATGATTTTAGTTGGCACTCAAGGTAAGTGTTTTGATTTTTAACGCTTATGTAAGTATTTATGCTTGACATTCACCCCTTGAAATGACTGCCTCGACAATTACTTCATTGATCTTAAATTGATTTATATATTTGAAAAGAGCTTTATTAGCATTAAAATGCGTTCTGTTTTAAGTAAATAATAAAATTGCATGTGATTTTGTTTCGAAAATAAAAATAAAAATTATAATAACTAATAACATCGAATATAGTAAAACTGCGTTTTTAGTTTTTCTCTCTGACGTCAGGATTTTTTTATGAAGGACTTTGAAATTTGAAAGCTATAATAACATACTTCAAAAAATTATTTAAAAAAAAATGCAGTGCAATGTAGAAAAACAGTATTACTATCAAATTGAAGAGAAAATTCTGTAGAATTAAGGCCGATTAAATTTTTTGGTGCATAAGGACGATTAGGCATCAAAAATGTTCTTTTCACATTTTATCATTGAATATCCTTTAAATTTTACAACAATTATTTTCTGAAAAATTATATGTTAAGGACTAATATTCACTCGACCACATCCTCGAATTTCGTCCTTCTAACTTTATACGCTTAAAAACATAAAACTAATTAAGAGGACATTTTCAATACCTATTCGTCCTTGTGAACCAAAAAATTTTAATTTATTTTAATTCTACAGAATTTTCTCTTTCATTTGGTGCCCATACTGTTTTTCTACATTGGAATGAATTTTTTTAATAATTTTTGGAATTAATCATATCTTCGAAACTACAAAGTCCTTAAAAAATCCTGACGTCAAAGAGAAAAACTAAAAACGCAGTTTCACTATATTTGGCCCACAGTTTTGTGAATATATTAATTGATTCATGTGTTTCCATTTTTTTTTTTGGTTTTTGTCGCACGATGTATTACTTTTAATGGAATTTTAGTTTCTAAAATCATAAATAGTAATTTTTTACTTAATGTAATTTTTCATTTGGTGACACATTAGTTTTATTACACTAGATTCATTCGTTTTGGCAAGAAGGACACTTTCGCCGTTTAATTTTAACATTTTGGGGGCGTAAAATTTCAAAAATGATATATTCAGCATGCTGCAAAATTTTTTTAATTAGGTTGCACACTTCACAGATATGTTGTATTTGTCTCTAATATGAACATTATATTTGAAAACTGCCCAAAGTTATTAACAAAAAAAAACAAGTGTGACTTTTTCGAGTGACAATAAAAAATTTGTAATTTCGGTACTTTTTCGCCTAAATAAACGTTTTAAGGCTAAAATTGTTCAAATGCTTGATTTATTTTTAAGCGTTTTTTTCTCTGGCGAGAGAAGAAAGTGACACTAAAAAAACAACTCGTGATATTTGCCCATGTATACACTAGAGGTTTACGCCGACAGGCTTTGCGGCGGCGGCGTGTTCAACTTCAAAAAGAATCGGCGGCGGCGGCGACGCCGGCGCGTCTGGTAACGCCGGCGCTACTGCCCATAAGGTAGAGTCCAAAGAGCCATGAGGCTTCTAATCTCATCATGTCATCAGATTATAATTCTATTTAATTCATTCATTGAATTCAAATGTTGAGTGACTGCTGCTGATGGATGGGCGAACAGAAGAAAGTCTATATAGTATATACATTAGGTTTCCCATTGAAAATGATTTTTTTTGAAAATTTAAAGACCCTACCCCCTAATTTGATTCGTTTTTATGAGAAATATTATTGCCTATTTTTATAGATTTTTTAAAGGCCATTTAGAGGTCGCGGCCTGTCGATTTAGGTCAGAAAATACGATTTTCTAGATTCATGAGTTTTTGAGAGACTATTTTTG